CGTCCGTGACTCCATCCGCGTGGTATTAAAAAAAAACAAAACTGAGTAGCCTATGTGTTCTTTCAGACTATCCTCTACGTCTATGACAAATTTCATCGAAATCCGTTCATCCGTTTAGGCTACAAACTCTAACAAACATCCATCCATCTAAACATTCGCATTTATAATATTACTATGATTAGTATGATAGATACAAAAGAGGATTTCGTCGATATTCAATTATTACTGCTTCATAAATCAGTGTTAATTCTGACATTAATTTTTATCGTTTTCGCTATTCGTGATTGACATGCGCATATACTCGTAGTGTAGAGTTTGTCTAGTGTTTTGCACACAAATGTACTTCTACAATGACTAGATTTTCAAGCCTGTATCTTCCAGAACGCCTACTTTTTCCTTTCATATATTTTGCATCTTTCCCTTTTAGTTTATGATTGTTATTTCTCATTCCACATTCCAGAAATCGTTTGTTTCTTTATACTTGTTGATATTGTTATTTCTTTTATTTACAAAGCATTAATGCGTATGTGCGTGATATGACTGCGACTCTCGGTGTGATTTCGTGATACCGCACACCGTAGCTTCCGCTAGCCGCCGGCAAGGCTCGCATGACATACACTTTGAATATAAATCAATTGAAATGTCCACATTCGATTTGATCCAACTTATACACTCAAAATAAGACATGATTATTTACCTAACCAAAAAACTGTATATTTCGATGTCAATTCCAACAATTTGTTATAAAAAGTCCTTCCTATCAAATGAATTCATTTGTTGCTATGAACATTCTAAGATTACATTAGGTAGAGTGTTAATCAGAAGTTCAAATAAAGGAAGCTGTAGATTCTTATAAAGATCCTCTAACATATTGGCACTTTATTGACCAACATTGTTAAATAACTACGTCGAACTAGGTTTATTAAATTCCACATCATTTCGTTTACATTTAGTTTTTATTGATATTCAATATTACGTTACTATCGAAAAAAAGAACTACGTAAGTGTGTTTTCATTTAAAATTAAGAGGTTTTTTTAATACTAACTTGTCACACACGTTATTTTAAATTGCGACTTCATGATATAAGAAATTCCACTATGTGCTTTGAAGATTGAAAATTACTTTTAGATATTGATAATAATTTAGTAGTCTATCTATACCTTGGGAACAATCGCACAATCATTGAAATAATAGATCCTCCCGTTATGTTACATTTATTGGATTAAATAATAATAGAGTTAACAATGGTATGGAATTTGCTACAAAAATAATAACACACATGAGATGAATATGTAGACAGGATTAGAGAAATATGAGCAGTTTGTACAAAGAAATTAATGGAATACAAGATTAAACAACAAGGAGATAAAGAGTAAAAGCATAAAAAAGCTCTAGCTCTTAGCATACCTGACACCGTGATAAGCCAATAGTGTGAGGCGGTGCTCCTTCGTGGTC